ATCACCCGCTCAGCTACAACTAAGTTGTTTAAACAAATGTGTTGCAATGGTAGAAAAAAATATTGTGTGTCTAAAAACTGTAGGTACTGGGGGTACTTATAATTCTTTTTAAAGGGGTACTTTATAAAAAAAAAAAGGTTGAGAAACACTACTTTAAGTAACCTCCCCAAAGCCTCTGAATTCATGTTTGTGTAAGTCAAGTGGGTCGTATATACAAGGGACTCCCATTATTCCATGCTTTGAAAAGGCCGTGTATTGTACTTTTATTTCCCTTATGCAAAAACAGAATCTTTAACTAAAATGCCCTCCTCTGGCTTCAAGGTTTGGCTTGTGGCATCCTTGTTTATCCTGTACAGACTAACTCAGCTACCCCTCTGAAGCTTTTGATTTTTACTGTAAAAGGTAGCCAGATGGGCCACCTACCCGTGACTGCCAGCCACACTATAGTTCATCTCAGCTTCCAGCCAGGTCAGCCCTTTGTGGTAGTTTAATAGTTTTTGGATGGGGATCTGAATCCCATGGACTAAAAAATTCTGTATCTTTGGTGCCTGATAAAACTCCCTGGAGCTAGGGTTGCCAGATGGTCTCCCAAAAAATACCAGACACCCAGTAGTTTTGGTCGAGCAAAGAAAAAAAAAAAAAGGAACGCGGGATAAGCAGCGATCACAACCGCATCCCGCAAACACTTCTGGGAGCCTGTGATTGAGCAGCAGCCTGGCGGGGGTGGGGCTGCCCACGTCAGGCTTCCGTCCGGTGTCCAGCTGGAAAAATCAGAGAATATCGGACACTGCAAGTGTCCGGTATTGTCTGATTTTTTTTACCGGGCAGAGGGCTCAAATACCAGACTGTCCGGTAGGATACCGGACACCTGGCAACCCTACGCTGCAGCCTACATGAAAGGAGCAAGGCCTAGAAGCTTCACCTGCCTTATTTTCTATAGTTAGGATCTTATACCTGGAAATAACCATATCCAGCTAGGATCCAAAAGCTCTCTCAGGAAAAAAAAGGAAAAAGAAAGAAAGAAAATGTTGGCCAATGCTTCCAGCTACAGAAAGAATACTCAAGGAAGATTAATCTTTCATCGTGTAATTTTCCTCTGTTCCATTATATTTTCTTCAATTCCCTTATACCTGCCACTAAATTTTATACTGCTACTCTGTCCCCGAAGACCATTGTGATGTCTTTGTATTGCTGCTACTTTCCCTCCCATTTTGCTCAGATTTTGTTTTCAATCTCTGTCTGCTTTCAAGCACAGTCATTTCATTCTCATTTTCCACACTTGCGCAGTCCTGGAATTCATAATCTCCTGTAGAAAAATTCAGTTTAAAAATAACTGTTAAAGGAATTTGAAGAACTGGAGTAAAAGATTTTTAAAAATTAGCTCAATTTTCAAATGAGTTTGGTCATAAGCAGACTTTCAATTAATCTTCAGACAGTTAGCGGTAAAACAAATGTGCTTTTACCTACTCTGCAACAAATCTTCCCCAAACAATTACTCTGCCAACTGAGGAACATACGATCCTTTAAAAAATTTATAACAAGTGAAGCTAATAAAACCAGAGCTTGGAACCGTCTCAGTTCATCTTTGCTGGGACAATATGAAGATGTCAGAAGGTGCATTGCCACCCTAGCTAGAAAATGGCAGCATAACAAGAGGCTAGCAGGCTTTATACTGTGTTCTGGTATATTATATATCTCCAGATTTGTCAACTGCTATGTGTGACTTTAATATACAACTTAGGGATGTGAATGGTTAACCCATTAACCAGTAAGCAATACCTTGCAGGGCCTGCCGTGGACGGGGCACTCTGGCTCAGCCAGAGCAGCCCCCACCCACGATAGTAACAGACTGTCTGAAGCAGCCCTTCCCCATGGTGGGGGCCCACTCCAGCCCAGCTGTGGTGGGCAGTGGGGGGTGGGAAGGGGAGGGCATCTGGGCCTACCCCTATTTAATAGTTTAACCAGTTAAAGATAACATTTACCTGGGTAACTAGTTAACCTGGATTTTACATCCCATATATAACTCAAGTGTATTTTAAAAAGAACATTCTTGCAGGTTCTACTAAGGTTTAAATTGACCACAAGGCCCTTCAGTACAGGATTCCTTCGGCTTCTATTAAAGTCGTCAGGAGCTGGAGATGCACAGCAGCTCTGGACCACGCTCTTAGTTGCATGACATATTGATTGGGGAGTGGAATCATATGTTTTGAAATTTTAACTCTTTGTAATGTTCTTGTTACCCGATCCTTGTTGATGTTCAATATGGCAAGCGCAGGGTCTATCTATCCAAGTATGTATCCAGCCAGTATTTACACAGCTGTTATCACTACATCGTCTGAGCGCATGCATTTTATATGTCATAATAACTTAAAAATAAAAACTGTTCAATTAACACAATTTTTGTTGTCAGCACGAGATCATTCATTACATTCATTCAGTCCAGAAGTGCAGCTCTTGATGTGATGTGGCATCGTACACAATTTGTGTATCGTACAAATATTTTGTACGTATAAATAGAAAAGCATACTTGAGTCCTCGTAAGTGCTACTCAAACAGATTTTAATAATATAAGTGATAAAGGAAACACCTCCAAATAAAGCTGAGAGAGAAAGAACAACCCATTAGCAGAAGGCACCTCTGCTATTTGAGTCTTGTATCCTGTTTCCATTCCCTTGCTAATTAAACAATGGCTCTGTTCAATTTTGAAATTCTGAGGTTGAACAGCAGTTCTTTCATGAATTAACCACCAATGTCTTGATTCTGCTTCCTGTTTGGAATTAGACATCTATCCTGCTGTTCAAGAAACTCATAAATAGAGAAATGTAGCAGGCAATGCTGACACATTGAATAAACACCTGCAACTAGAGTGCCTTGTTCCATCAGGATGAAGTAAAAGTAATTGGTAACCAATTTGTTTCTGCTTTTGTTTTTCCATCTCTTTGTTCACATCTACAGCTCTTTCCATAACTTCATTCACTGACAGCCTCCTAAAACTGAGATAATAAATAAATCAAACATCTAACAATAAGAGAGCAGACATGCTCCTAATCAAAGGTGGCATGACCATTTTAATATGAGTCCCCAATGATTTTTTTCTCAGTTTTACTCTAACTACATTTAAGTACCTTTTACACTGAGAGGCTACTTTAAGTATTACACTAGGCAGGATGTGACAGCATAGCAGCAAAATTAAACTAGTCACAATACAATCTTATGAATAAAAAAAGGCTTAAATCAAAATCATAAATAAATGAAATGTGTCCCTGCTCCTTAAAAGAAGACTGGCTGCAAGGTAATAATTCTAAGAAATTGAATACAGAGGAAAGAAGCTGGAACCAAAGTTCATA